ACTATAGATCGTTCAAATAATTCTTCGCCACAACAAAGGCATCATTCGCCTACGCCAGAAACAGTTGGATCCGATGTAAATAAAACTACTTCATCGGAATCCACAAGTACAGGAACTGTCTCGAAATGTAACATAGCCGTGGAGAAACTAGACAAAAATACAGACGTTGTCGGGAAAAATCAAAAAGATAATTTGGAAAATTTGGAAAATATCTCGGCGACTACTTCCTCAGCGATGTCTAACACTGGTACACCAGCACCACCCGTCGAGCTTCATCCACGAAAGAGAAAAATGAAACCCAGTAAAGAAGCACAACAGGCTGCAGCTACGGCTGCTGCTAATGAAGCAGCTGAAGCTGCCAGTACGGGACCAGAAATTCATCCACATGATCAACCAATTACCAATTGTTATCAGCTATTTCTGAACATTAGAAAACAGGCAAAGTATCTTTCAAATTTTCAATAATGCATGAAATTTTTTTTAAATAACTATATTCTAATGATCACATAATGTCACATTGTCACATATAATATTGGAGATATTTTATTATTATATCAATATTATGCCAAAACATTCATTATCAATCAAATTTGCGATCTTCATCAATCTTATTGACACACACACACACACACAAATTTGCTACTTATATCATAATTTGTTCTATTCTCAATTTCGTAATTTAAATTGTTTAACAAAAAATGAAGCATGAGCAGAGGAATTATTTGGTATTAAGTTTCTCTTTTATCTTGAAAAAAAAGATCATATTTAAAAGGATATAACAGATTTTGTTATTATTTTGATCTATATTGCGTTAAAAAAATTTTAGAAATTTTAAGTTTAAATAACATATCTATTAAGTTGTTTACTAAATTCATATCAATTGTATAGGACAATTATATTGGAAATGTTAAATGAAATAAAAACTTATTGTAAGTATTGTACCACTAAAATTTAGATTAATGGATTCTAAAAATATATATGAAAAATTTGATATATATTATATATTTGGTGTTAAAATATTCTAGATACAAGGCGCTCTTGAAATATATCAAAAATTGAATTGTTGTTTTAAATAGTTAAAAATGAATATTCTATAATAGATACTTTATCTTCATGAAAACCCTTAATGTCAACTTAAGTTTTTTTAGCTTAATATAAAAAATTGTTGCTTTTTAGTATCACAAAAAGTTTTACAGTTGATATAATTTTAAATTTATCAAAAAAAGAGAAACAAATTAAATTTTTTATTTACTTTGAATTATGAAAGATATGTACTTTGTTGTTGCAAACATACTTCAGTGATCAATGAAATTAAAATATATTAATTTATAAGTAACTTTAAAATAAGCACTAAATTCATTTTTTAATATATTTTGGAGGTAAATTAATTGTAAAAAATTGTTACAATCATTATTTCAAAAGCATTCGCATCTATATTCTAAAAATATAGGAAGAATTGTATACAGAATTATAATACACTATTTATTTTTAACATTTTAAAACGAATAATAAATTTTGTCTTCGACATATTTTGAAAGTACATTGTATCTATAATATTTTGTTATCAAGAACATAAAAATAACACATTTTTTATGTTAGAAAAATTTAGGTTTTTTATGACGTTATGATTTATTTGTATTTATTAAAATTATATTATAATTTATGTTTTTAAAATTCATTAATATAGAGAAATTTGAATATTATTTGAAATAAATTTTGATTTCATTAATATGTCATGCACAATTGTGAAGGGCTTGCTGCAGTAATAGACTAACCTACATTTTGTAAAAATGAAGAAAATTGACTCTAAATTAAAATGATAAGGAATATACATCTATTTCTGTCATATATCACTGTCACATATCTGGCTAACAATATATGTCAAAGTCAAGATAATTGGGATTGCCTGTCTTAATTGATAATTTAGTGAGAAATTTTCTAGTAGTTACTAAATTATATAAAACGCTAAAAATGGCGCTATTTAAAATTTATAACTTAGCTGCATGCTTAAAATGAAAATATCTTGTTTTTTATTTGCATTTTTATAAAATTGATTATTCCATAATAACATGTTAATTTGTACATATCAAAATAGATTAGAAATTTAATTAGAATATGAATACGGATAGAAAGGGAAATAAAAAATTTTTAATTTCCTTTACAGATCGAGAGAAGACGAAAAAGTTTATTTCCGGTTCAACCAAAACCTCCTCAAGGTTTTAAGGATTATTTGATGAATCGTTGTACATATGTATTAGCTGGCAATGCAAAAGAACCGAATGTTAATCCGCCTGTTGGTTTGCATGGAGCTATGAAAGATCTATATGTTGAACAAGAGAAAGAACGATATCGCCTCAGGATGCAACATGTGGTTGAAAAAGAGAAATTAGTTTTATCAGTGGAACAGGAAATTCTTAGAGTCCACGGTAGAGCGGCCAGAGCACTTGCTAATCAATCTCTTCCCTTTTCTGTTTGTACCATTCTTAAAGACGAAGAAGTGTATAATGTCATTACTCCTGAACAAGAAGAAAAGGATAGAAATGCAAGGAGCAGATATAATGGTAGACTGTTCTTAAGTTGGCTTCAAGATGTGGACGATAAATGGGAAAAGATAAAGGTAAAGATACGATAAGATAAAAATTAAACAATAATAGATGATGGATTTACATATATATAAAATATTATCCCTGCTAAGCATATTTTTGTACTACCAATTTATTAGTCAATTTTTCTAATAAAATTGTCAAAGTATTCGCAAATTGAAAATAAAGAGCTTTTTAAAAATTAACCTTCAAAGAAAATAATCGATGAAATTATATTCCTCAATTAATCTCAAGTCAGGATATTTATATATACACTGCGCAAAACAATTATGGCATAGAAAAATTTTGAGTAAAAATTGGTCAACTTTAGTTAACGGTAACTTCGTGAAAAATCATCGTAAAATGATGAACTTTTTTTCAAATGAAAGCTTGAAATCTCTACTTTAAGGTACTGTGAGTCGAT